CCACTTCCTCGCCTCTTCATCTTTCAAAATTGTAATCCACATCGTCAGATAACTATATTCACGTTGTAGTTTCCGTCGCCACTCATAGGCACTACACTCAGGAACGCTCGAAGGTTTCGGTCCTAACATGGCCGAGACCGTACTTCGGCCATCTCAACCATGAACCAAATAGAAAGGAGTATCCAGTCTAGTCGTGTCGAACGAGACACTCAGGGCGAACACCAGTCGCTCAGCGTGGTCATCCCAGTCGGATTGATCCATCTCAGCGACATATGCTCGAACACTCCGAATAACTGTTTGTACGGATCTTTCGTGTTGCCCATTCGCTTGTGGACGATATCCGAGTGTAGCATACCTAAGAGTTCTCGGAACCTTGTGAACACTTCACTCATGAACCGCGGATCCTGGTCATGTCGTATCATGGAAGACGCCCCGAATCTCTGGAACACTTGCTCTTCATAGGCCTCAGCGACATCTTGAGCGGTAGTGGATGACATGGGCTTACACATCACATAACCTGAAAGCATGTCCTGAAACAACAAGAGAAAAGTATTTCCCCTGGCTGACTCGGGCATATGAGTCACGAAATCCATAGAAACTGCTTCGAAGGGATGCCGTGGTTCAATGTTTCCTGGCGAAGGTCCAGCATTCGGGCGCGCCCCTTTTCCACTGGCGCAATCTACGCATTCTTTCACAAAATGTTGGACGTCGGCATACATGCCGGGCCAGTAGAATTCGGTACGTAACTTCTCATGCGTCCGAGTGATCCCTTGATGTCCACCTTGGAAGACTTCATGCACGTGATGCAACATGTCTTCCCGGAGTGAACTCGGGACTACCAGTCTCAGATTATCCACAGCGTCTCGTGGTCTTCCACGAACAGAGTGTGGAAGTCTGTACAACGCTCCTCGGTCATCCAGAACGTGATCTGCGACCTTACTGATTTTCTTCAAACGCGTGGACGAGAACCTATCCAGGTCGTCATTCAGGAACGCCCTTATTTCTGCTAGATACTCATCACTCTCTTGATGAACTTTGATCCGTCTCCAGCGTTCAGCCTGAAACTCTAGCGGTCCCATAGGCGGAACTTCGTCATCATCAACGTCTTGAGCTCGCGATCTCGTGAGTACCGCCATGACTCGGGCGGCAGAAGGTAGAGGGGCACATTCAGGGCCAGGACCATGTCTCGTTCCCAAATTGTCATGTTGCTCACCAGAGTCCTGTGTGGGATCTCTACTGTGACCCCGAGTGTCGGTGCTTTCTGACGACTTCACTAACTGCTCGCGAATCTTGGATACTACTTCGAGGTGTCGTTTCTCGATATCACCCTGAACAGTCCAAGATTCACCTTGGACAAGAGTCTTCGATGTCAGGTAATCAGCGGCCTGGTTAAACTCGCGATTCATGTGTACCAATCGGACCGTCTGGAAACGATTCTTCAGGGTTTCGTATTCAGCTAGTCTCATTTGTAGGTTAGGCGGATTACAATTAATCAGGCCTTGGACTTGTTGAATCACGATTCTCGAGTCACCTACGACGACTATGTCCTGGATCCCTCTTTCCAAAGCCATCGCCAGCCCTTTAAGCAACCCGAAGTATTCCGCGTCATTGACGGTGACTCCATCCAGGATGTATCCTCGAGCATCCCAGACTTTCCATTCAGGTAGCTGCCACAGAATGCATTCACGGCTGCCCTTCCTTGTGGAAGTTTTGACTGCACCATCGAAACTCAGGACTACTCCGGAGTATTCTTCCGAGAGCATTTCGACAGAGGCGGCTTGACGCGCACCTTGGCTGGAATGAGTACTTCGGCGACTTCATCCAAGTGCTCCCTGGGAGTGATACCTGCACCCATAATGGCGGCTAGGCCATCCTCATCTCGACTGACCTTCCGAATTTCCAAGTCGTACTGCGAGAGAGCGACGCCCCATGGCACCAGACGGCCTTCGGCGGTCTTGGAGTTGATGGCCCACTGAATGTCGAGTATAGATTACCAACGGACATCCTTCGATCAGATTCTTGAACACATGGAGCACTCGCATCACCGCGAGAACCTCCTTCTCAGCAATATGGTACTTGAGCTCGGCGTCACTCAGGATACGCCCCGTGAAACGAACCGGTTGAACAAGTCCGTCATGCATCTGTCCTAGAACTGCGCAAGCAGCCCACTGATTCGCATGAGGGATGATCACAAAAGGTTTTGTCCGATCCGGGTGTCTGAGTAGAGGTGTAGACACAATCTTCCTCTTCAGGATCTGGAAAGATTCCTTCACCCGAGACAAGGCTCGTCCTGCACGCACTTGGTCGTCGGTCAGCTCATAGCGTGAAGCGGCTACCACAGCATAATCCTCGATGAATTTGTGGTAGTAATTCAGGCTGCCTAGAAATGACTGGACTCCTTTCAGGGTGGACGGAAACGGTAACTCCTGAATGCCTTTTACAATTTTTGGGGTGGCACGTATCCCTTCAGCACCAATCTCATGGGAGAGATATGGTATGACACGCTTCCCAAATTCACTCTTGGGCAAGCTAACTGAGATACTCCAATACCGTAACCGATAGAGCAGCGCATCTAGATCACCGCATAGTCCACGTGGCCGCCCCATGCGCGATGTCATCAATATATGCACTGCGCCCCAAGACTGGCCCCATTTGGGATGGCGCGGGAATGTTACGCCTGAAAACCGTCATCTGTTCCACAAGTGGTGTCATGCTACATTCTGCATCCACTTCATCACACGGCGACTGAGAATCCAACTTCAAGTAGCCTAACACATCCTGATCCACGAGTGCTTCTTCTTCGGGTGATAGCCGCACAAATCCCCACATGCAATTGTTGATCATCTGTTGGTAAATCAGTGGGGCGTTTTTCAACCCGAATGGCATACGCACCCATTGGAAATGCCCGAATGGACAGGTGAACGCCGATATCAGCTTAGCTCTTTCAGTCATTCGGACTGCCCAAAAGCCGCTTG